ATTTCCATGGGGCCGTACGTAAAGACCACGCATGCCCGGGGCTGAATTTGATAACTTTAAGTTGTGCATGGGTTCTATATGGACGGAGAACAAAACCTCAAAGTTTCAGCTTCCTAGCCTTTCTGGTCCTTGCGTTGGCGGTTTTCCCGCCACAACTTTCACGAGCCTATGGGCGAGGCTGGACGAGCGTGAGAGTTAGTACCGCGGTCCTCCGTCCATATAGAACGGGAACTCACTCGCAAAATTTTGGCGTCAGAGCTTGCTTGGGTGCCAAGTTGAAATACTCGGACAGACGCACACACACATACATACAAACACACATCGGGGTTGTCGCAACATGCGTTTTCGCATTTGCATATACGCAAAAACGCATAAAGAGCATCTTTTTTTTTTCAAATAATTTATATCTTTTCTGCATTTCAAAAAGAATACTTTCGAGAAACAAAACGAATTTCACGATCGCCAAAGGATGCTCATCAGGCAATACAGCACCAGTCCAAACAACTGGGAGTTGCCCGATGCAAAAATGAAAAGCAGACCCTGAATTAAAAATTCGTAATGGGGGGCCAGCGAACACTAGATCTGCTGGGTTTGCATAGATTTCTCCACAATTGTTTATTCTAAATAGCACTGTTCGGGCAGATTCTTTTAGCTAAATGAACAAAAATATTTGTCAGATTTGCATTCGCTATTATGATGCGTTTTGTGCTGTGTCACAGCAGCACAAAACGCATACTGTCACGGGGTTGTTTGTATGTATGTTTGTGTATCCGCAGCAACTTGTCCACAACTTTCAACTCGAGAGCCACAAAAGCTAGGAAAGTGAAATTTAGAGGAACGTTCCCCACCTACGTGTGACCCAGCAAATTTAAATTCAGCTTCCCCGTACCTACCGATAACACGCATGGCCCCGTGAAATTTTTTTACGGGTAAATTAATATCTCGGGAACCACGGAGTCTAGGGAGTTGAAATTTTAGGGTAATGACCACTTGCCTGCGCTCAACCTTGCCCATTCAAATTCAGCGTTCCCGCGCTCTCGTGTATCACCTACGGCCTCGTGAAAATTTTGGCGGGTAAATTATCAAATCAGGGACTCGGAAATCAGAAAAAGATATTCACCCTTCAAGGTTTCGAATTCAGCTTTCATGCGCTGGTGCGTGAAGTTTTTAACTGTTTATCAATGTTTGAACTATTTTTGCATAGACTAAAGTACAAAGCAGTGGAAATCATTAATAGGCAATCGCTCGATGGGTTGAATTGCATAAAACGCATGATCGCACCGGTTAGTCTGGTGCGCGCTGCTATTTATTTCTGTTGTCATGATGTTAAGGTGTGATGCAAAAATCAACAGAGCCAAATTGCAACGTATGTGAAATGAGGATGCCAACGCCAAAAAGGAGAGCTGTGAAACGGAACAGATCACCTAAATTTTCTACGTGGGGCAGCAAAAGAGTCGCTGACAGTCCTATTCGTGGCGAGACGGAATGCAACGATGAAATTTCAGCTGTTCAATTAATGTACGTTAAAAAATTACGATTTACAGGCGAATAATTCCTCGCATAATTCCACACCAATTGATACGCCGTCGCTCGTTTTCAGAATGGCATCACCAAATGCAACCTGAAATCCGCCGTAACAATAAACCAGTGATTACTGGGCTTATTACTCAGACAGTTCTCAAGCTAGTTAGCCGGGATCTTTTCCAGCCGCTTTGTTCTCTTTTCGCCCCTCCAAATTTGCGTTTCTAAATCGGAACGGACGCCTCCTTTGGGAAAGAAAAACTACCAAATGAAGAAGTCTCCCGTGCTAGTAACTTTACCGCGCAATTTTCCAAAATTGGCAGACGGAAATCGACAATTTCCTTTGGTTTTTGCCAACGCACAAAATAGCGATTTTCGTAGTACGCGCCGTGATCACAAAACCTCATTTTCGGCTTTATCAATAAAATAAGCCTGAAAATCATCCTGAGAGGTGAATAAATTGGAATTTTGCGAGAAAAAAGAAAGGCATACCATTAGAAGAACTCTTTTTGAAATTTTGATGACAAAATTAACAACTTAAACAGTTTCAGCTTACCGACAAAGAGCGCCATTTGGTCGGCGACCCTTAGTTCTTTCTACAGAAATTTGAATTTTGGAACAAATAGTCTTTTGAATGTTCAAACCAGTTGAGAATATTCACCCATTTTGGATGACCACTGCACAGTTGTAAAGCTCAACATTCAGGCGGATTGGCATACCAGTAACAATGACCATGTTTTGATACTGCAAAACAGAAAAATTTGTAAATCGCTGCGGAAGGCAAAACAAAAATCAGACAACCACTGCCCGATTTTCGCAAAAAAGCCAAGAGTTCCCCTGTATTCAGCCCCTACGAGGCGATCAGTGAACAGATATGAAAAAAAAAAAAAAAAAAACACTCAGAAGTAGCCAAAGTAGCAGCAAGTTCCATCTTTCTCTTACGCGTCCTGTAGTAAGCAGACTATTATCATGCGCAAATGTGACCGAGCATTTTGAAATCAGCTTAAATATGCCTGGAAAATGATGACAAGAAAAAGTGGCTAGCGATATATTTTGAGTAATCGGCAAATACAAGTGGGCAAACAACTGAAAAGGTTTGGGAGATGAGGCTAAACAGGAGAAAAAACAGGACTACTTAAGTAAGCTGCGGATGGTGTAAGGTGATTTGCGTTCCTATTAAAACTACTTGGAGAAAATCTAAACTTCGAGGGGGTAAAACGCTTCGTGAAGAAGAATATTACGTGCAAACCTATCTACACAACACAGTAAGAAATCAACACGATTCTCAGTATTATTCTAAATACTCGTGTACATATTAAAAACAAAAAAATATTAGCGAAAAATGCCAATACCTTATTTTAATTTTAAGATCATTCGTTTAATGGCCAGGCTGCAAAGCTAAAACTTCGCAAGGATATTTTATTTTCATGTGTGGTCTTAATTCAGTTGGAATTGAAATCTCCTATATGCAAACATGACAAACACTCGATTTTATCGCGAACTCAAAAGCGAGTGCATTTTGCATATTTCATAATCTTCTTCCGATTTCCTTCGAATTTGCATTTCTTTTTCAATGAACGGCTGTTTCATGGAAAAAATGACCAGGCTTTATGCAAAGAACTGATAATCGTATACACTGACGACTCATGTACCCCATAATGTAACGTCATCTCAGCCGGCGTCTTTTCCGTTTGCATGCGAAAAGAGGCCAAAACACAGTCAATATGAGTGCACGTGTTAAACTAAACCGATAAGTCAAAAGTTAAAATTTCTCTTATTCATTGTCTATGAGAAGCAGGGACATTCGGGAGTAACGCAAGTGCTGCGCAGCAACAAAAATCCTCATTTCGCAAAGCTGGCAATAGCTTCCCTCTTCGAGGACTGCCCGATCAAGCTGCTAGCGGGTTCGGCTCCTTAGCACACGCCAAGACGGACGAACGAATTTTAAAGAGATCGGAGGCCCGTCCGACGAACGAATTTTGAAGAGATCGGATGTCGAACCCTCCAAATTCAGTAGAAGAGCGGTGTTACCTGTCGCTGTCCTATGCATGTCAGGGGTTTTTAACAAATCTCAGGAAATTTAAAAAAAAAAAAAAAGAAAAAAAACAAGGAGGGTAATCTCACATCGTTGGATTTTTTGACGATTTCTGCGAGCACTTCCCAGGAGTGAAATTCGGTATCGAGTTCAAAGAAGTGATCTTGACACATATAGCCCGAAATTTCCAGCTCTGCACCAACACGTATTCTTGCGCCCCTTTTGTATGCAATAGCAATACCTGCAGTGATCCGTGGTTTCATGTAGAAATTTATTTTTTCCGTTTACGAATCTCTTAAGAGATTAAGCAAAAGATACCTGTTATCTACAAGGATAAGAATGAATGGACAACATTTTTTACAAAAATTCGACAAAAAAACGAGTTACCATAGGCGAGAACATTAAATTTGTTCATTTTAACAGAGTTTTCTGAATTGCCCATGCTTTGCGGTCTAGCACAGCTATGTCCAGCATGTCTGAGCACCCCAGCAAAATCACTAGCCCGATCCCATTGCCCTCGTATTCTTATCATTTACGCCTAAATTCCGATCATCTGCCAGCGAATAAGCCGTACTTTTGAGAATGCGCTTCAAGTTGCCGGTGAAATCGAGTGACCACTGATTGAGTGTACAGACCGCAGCACATACTTGTCGATGCCACATAATTCAGCTAACCTTCTGAAACCTGAAACAGCAAAAGAGCACTGGAAGTTACGATAGGAATGGGCACAAAAAGAGAGTTGAAGTGAGAGCTAATAGGTGAAAAATAATCGACATGGAGATAAGGGATCAGATAAATTAACATGTGCAAGACGGCATGTTTAAATGCAATCTGTGTTTCATCCCTTAGCTGTAAATACAGACCGAGCGTAGTAAACCGGCAGTATGAGAATTTTCGGTTGCACGCAGTCTTCCACCCGCCATACACATGATAAGAATGCGTCAAACAGCATAATAAATAACAACGCGCACCAGACTGGCCGGTATGATCATACGCTTTGTGCAATTCAGCCCATCGAACGATTGCCTATTAATGATTCTCACTGCTTGGTAGTTTAGTCTATGCAAAAATAGTTGAAACATTGAAAAATAAATAAAAATTTCACGCTTCTGCGCTTGAAAGCTGAATTCGAAACATTGAAAGGTGAATATTTTCACGTGATTCCCGAGTTAATAGCTTATCCGTCAAAATTTTCTCGAGGCCGTATGTGGCACTCAAGAGCGCGGAAATGCTGAATTTGAATGGGCAGGATTGAGCGTGAGCAGGAGGTCATTACCCTAAAATTTAGCTTCGTAGACTCTGTGGTTCCCGAGATAATAATTTACCCACAAAAACTTCCACTAGCCCGTAGGTGATACCCGAGATC